GCCCATTTTTTGCTGAGCCCCTCTGTGCCCGCTTGGTCCCAGGCATCAGCCACGCTCCACCCCTCCTGCTGCCCATCCACCCATCCGCATAGTCTTAAGCTCTGCCAGGAGAGGTTTAGGTTAGATATTAAGAAGAAATTCTTTACAGAGAGGATAATCAGGCACTGGAATGGACTGCCCAGGGAAGTGGATTTTCCGTCCCTGGAGGTTTTTAAGATGAGACTGGATGTGGCATCAGTGCCATGGGCTGGGAACCATGGCAGGGTTGGACCAAGGGTTGGACTTGATGGTCTCAGAGGTCCTTTCCAACCTGGCTGATTCTCTGATTCTGTGAGGTGCTGCTCCTGGTGTGTGGTGCTACTGTAGGGACTGAGGCTGTGCAGAGGTGTGGATGAGTCCTGCACCTGCTGAGCCTCCTGGCAAAGCTCTGAGGCCACAAGAAACATGCCTGTCCCCTTCCTCGCCCATCCCAGCCTGCTGCATCCATCCCTCCTGTCCCAGGCCAGGAATATTGTCACGGGTTGGTGTTTAGTCTGCACGTTGTGGTGTTGATGACCGTAGTATCTCTTAGAAGATGGTGAAGTTGTTATCTATTTTTTTAATGGAAAAATAAACTGTCCCCTGTGTCTGGTGTTCCCCCCGAATGGCTTATTGGGGAGCAGCCACTGCAGCTGTGGGGAGAGTGAGGTGACAACACTGCACTCCTGAGCATCATTTAGGGGTCTCTGTTGGGCCTGTGACACTCCAAGGGATGGAGAAGCCCTTGGGGACAGCACAGGGGGGCTCAGTCTGGGGAGCCTTGAAGATGTGGGCAGGTGAAACTCTTCAGTTGTGCAGGTAGCTCTGGGGAAGGCAATGTTACTTTTGGGTTGGGTAGGACCAGGCATCCCTGGGCTGTGCTAGAAATGGGTTTCATTTGTCAATCAAGACCTTAGCTCAGGGCTGGGCATGGCCAGAGGACCTGGTGGCTTTGTCCTGGGCTCCATCCCAGCACCATAAGCAACTGGGATCTGCTATCACAGTATCTTTGTCCTTTTCTCCACCCTCATCTTCCCTGTGCATAGTTTCCTCTGGCCCTTCCTCTCCATCAGCAGCCTGCACAGATAGTGACTGTTGCTAAGGAGCTCTCACCAAATTTTAATACTTCTCCAGTCAATCAGGCAGGGCTGGCTCCTGGGCAGCAGTGCTGACTCCCACCCACCTGGATGCTGCAAATCACCTGGTCTGCCCTGCAGCAGCCAGTACCTGAGCACAGAGATGGGAGGATGCCAAGGCCAAAGCAGGGTGTGTATTTTTAGGAGTGCTGCTGAGGGGACAGCTCTGCACCCTGGGTTTGGCTGCTGTGCTTTCCAGGAGGGGGTGTGTGTGTTTGCAGCTCAGCAGTGCTGGAGAAGGAGGGACAGGGCAGGTCCCGCTGTGTGGGGGCCTGGGGACGTGCCAGGGCTGCTGCCTGAAAAGGCAGCAACTCAAAAGCTTGAAGAGGGGACTCCAAGAATAGCCTCAGTGATCCCGGGGCTCTCCAAGCTCCTGCTTCCCTTGGGGCCACCACAGAGGAAGTTCAGGTGTTTCCCAGGAGGGACCTGCAAAAGCCCTGGGGAAAGGAAGTCTTTGAGGCTGAAATGGTATCAAACACCCAAAGGGTTTGGGATCCCTGGAGCCAGCCCTGGTCACCAGCACCCAGCTGGCTCTGCTCTCCTGGTTGAACCTCAGTGCGAGTGAGGTGGTGTTGGATTGATTTCATGGACAGGGACACAGGGTCCCTGAGGATTTACATCAAAGTCCACAGGGAGTGTTTTTCTTTAGCTGTAGCACAGAGCTTTGGGTAAAAAAACCTGCTGGTGGCCTCTGTCCTGGGGCTCTGTGACCTCCTCCCAGGTGCTGCCCTGTTCCAGGTGAGACAAGGTGAGATCCTCCATCACTTGCCCCTTCCTGGCTGATGGGTTTTGGTCTCTGGGTACACTCCCTGCTCCCCAAGGGCTTCTGGGGGTCTGCTGATCACGGTGTAGGTTTTAGTCTGGGCTGAATGCTGGGCTGTATGTGCTGTTTTGTGTCTGGACTTAATCCCACCAGCACTCCTGGGAGTGGAGAGCCTTAATTAACACCTGTGCTCGTTCCATTAACTAGTGCATGGCACAGGTAACCCTGGCATGGAGCAGGGCCCCACCACACCTTTTTCCTACCCTGCTGCCACCGTCGTGGCTGCTCCAGCTCCCAGCACTGACCACCCTCCTGCCCTTCCCGCTGCCCTGGCATCGGTGCCACCCTGTGCTCTCCAAGGGTGGCCAAACCCTTGGCACGAGCAGGAGCTGGTGTCTGCTGTGGGTGCCCCATCACATCCCTCTCCGTGTCCTCCTGGGGGGCTCTGCTGATGTCACCTTTGTCCCCAGCCCCCTCCCCTCGCTCCCGGGGGCTCGCTGCCCCCGGGGCTGGCTCTGCTTCGGAACGAGGTCTCCCGGCTCAGCTCCCCGCAGCACCCCGGTATTACCGGGCGGAGGGGAGGCGGCGGCGAGGAGCGCTCGGTCCCGAAGAGGTTAATCCGTGTCCCGGTGGACTGAAACCCCGGAGCTTCATGGGATGCCTTATAAAGCGCGTTCCGCCGGGCCGGCCCCGGCTCCGGGAGCTCCCGGGACTGGCGGAGCCGCCGCCGCGCCGGAGCCGCCGGTGCCCCGGAGCCGCCGCGCTATGGAGCCGCCGGGCCCCGCCGGGGCGCCGGGCCGGCCCTGGGATGAAGCCAAGGCTTTCTACGACAACCTCGCCCCCAAGAAGAAGCCCAAATCGGTGAGAACCCCCGAGGTGCCCAGCCGCGCTGCGCTCCCCGCCCCCGGGGGGACGCAGCCCCTCTGGGTGCCCCCCTCCAAACCGCGTGCCCCGTCTCCCCCGGGCGCCCCCAGGTCACTCCAGGGGCCCCATCTTCTACAGGTTCTCTGTGGTCCTCCTGGGTGCCTCATCTTCTCTGGATTCCCCCGTGGAACCCCCCGGGTGTCTCTGGGTGCCCCATCCCATCTCCTCCACACTCTCTGGGGTCCCCCCCGGGGGTGTCTCTGGTTTTTCTTTGACACCCTGTCTCCGTCCGGGTCCCGGGGTCTCTCCAGATGCCCCCACTCCTCCTTGGCATCCCCGGGTTACGCTTGGTTGTCTCTGGGTTCCTGTGGGTCCCTGTGGTGTTCCCGGGTCCCTCCTGGGCTGAGGTGTCCTTGCAGAGTGGCTCCGTGTCCCATGAGCTGCCTGTCCCCTGCGCCAAGGCGGGAGGCCCTGCCAGGGACAGGAGGGGTGGCAGTGCTGGAGCAGGGGGACAGCCCGGGAGCTGAATCCCTGCCCAGAGCAGTGGGGTGTCACAGGGGTGCAGCTGCCCCTGCCAGGCTCGCCTGCTCTGGGAGATTAGAGGGAAAGCCTCCGTTATCTAACCAGGGCTGAGCCTGCCGGGTTTAAACATGGGAGCGCTTGGAAGTGCTGCCATCCCTCGGGATAGCTGTGGAGCTCTGTGTGTGACCTCTCCACGAGGGGAGACAGCCAAGCTCTCGCTCTGCAGACCCCAACTTGGAGCAGCCCCTGTGCTTTCCCGGCTGGGGACCCGGCTGCAGCCCCCTGTCGTGGACCCGCTGCCAGCTGGCATTGCTGTGCCCTTCCCAGAGGAAGAGGGACAGCCTGGCCTGGTGGCAGGATGCAGCTAGTTGTCTTTCATGCCATGCTCTCGGCCTGTGTGGATGTCAGCCCAGGCTCCTCCTCTCCTTGCAGGCAGCTCGGTGACCAGTGCCCCCGTCTGTGCTGTACGACTGAGGCGCCAGGCAGGGATGGGCTTTGCTCACACAGCAAACCAGCGGCAGGGCCGAGATCCAGGCACCCAGATCCTCAAGTCAGGCTGTGCCATCCCCCTTTGTGGGGCTGGGGACGATGCTCAGCCCCGTGCCCCTCCATTGGGGCAGGCTGGGGGCCCTCGCACAGAGCTGGGGTGCCCTGCCCTGCCCTGCCAGGCAGCTGCCAGCCCTGTGATGGATGGCTGCAGAGCTCTTTTCTGCAGCGTAAATAATGCTCTGGGAAAACTCAAAACCATCCCAGCCATCGCCCTGAACTTTAATCTGATCCCAAGCAGGGGGCTCAGAGCACCCAGGGCTCCCTCGTGCATGCGGGAAATGGAGTTGTCAGTCTGTGCCCTTGGAGGTGCCAGGTCTGTCTGTCCTCTTGGTGGAACAGGAGCGGGTACCTGTGGGGGAGCAGATGTGAACTGTGGGGGCTGATCCCTCCTGGACACGGGCTGAGGTGGCAGGAGGCAGGGGGATTTTGGGGAGCCCATTCCTGGCTGGGAAATGGGTTGGTTAACAGGGCATTCCCACTTTGCAGGGGTCTCCGCTCTTCCCATGCTCCGGCTCCTGTGGCTGCTCCAGCCTCGCTCCTGCCAGCTGGGGAGGTCAGCGAAGGGATTTGTCACTCCTCAGCAATGCTGAAAATGTCCCCCAGCCTCTCTGGTGACGCCGAGTGGGGTTAATGGGAGCTGACCTTCTTCTGGCTCCCTTCCTCTGAGCACCCTGCTTGTCCCCTGCACCCTTGGGGTCCCATCCGGCTCACCAGGGTGCCTGATTTTTGGGATGCTGTAGCTGGAGTGGGGGTCATGCTTGATCCTGGAGCAAGCCCTTCTTCTTCCCTTTCTATGACCATATTTCACTCCAAAATCCTCCTCCGAATGTTGAATTTGGTCTTCTGCAGCATCCAGGGAAGTGCCCAGAGCTGACAGGATTCTTCCAGGATTTTAGGATCCAGTTGGGTCCAGCAGATTCAGCCCCAGGCAGGGATCGAGGGGGGCAGAACAAGGTCCCCACTGTGGCTCCTGCCAGTGGTGGCCTCCAGGGGTGGCAGTGGAGCTGCTGGTGTTGGGAGCCACTGTGGGCACCTGTGGCTCTTGTGGGTGGGAGGACACAGTCCCGCTGCTCATCCTGGGAGCCTGTGGGATTTCCAAATGTCTGCCTCTAATCCT